TCACATTGGTATGATTTTGTTCTGGGTCTTAGATGCCTGATACCTTATCTCATTGACACCTTATGATCACACAGGCTGGTATGCTTCTTCCATGTGGGCTTTGTTGCTTCTGAGCTAGATGGCTGCTTGTTTATTTTCAAGCCTTTAAGACCCCAGATACTATGTCTTTTGATAGCCAGGCACCATCAGCTTTCTTCACCACATTAGCTTATGCACCCATTTTGTCTTCAAAGATAGTATAGGGAAGGTGAGCATCACAGAATGCCGGATTATTAGAACAAAGTGTTCTTGTGTTGAGGGAGTACTTGAGTCAAGATCCAATGTCCATCTGCTACCTTAATTCTTAACATATAGGCATAAGTACTTAGATCTATTTCTCTCTCGTTATAGAGAAATATATTTACATATGTACCCGACTGTATTTAGACTTCTATAAATGTCCTTTGCTTCCTGGTTCTTTCTTCTATTTCATTTTACTTTCTTCTTGTCCCACCATCATGTTTGGTCTTCATTCGGGTTCAGTAATTCCTCGCTGCTACATTGCCTTTGATTGAGCCCCACTAGGCATCATACACCCTTCTCTCCATTGATTTCAGTTCACTTGTTTTTCCCTTGTCCCTGGGTTGGTTCCCCTCCCCTTTCCTTTCTACCACCTCCCTTATTTTTTAACTTTTTATTGTAAATTAAGTGAGGGTTTATATTTTATTTTTAACAGTTTTATTGGCATATGAATCACATATCATATAATTAATAGTTAAATAATATTAAGACGCTGTACTATAATCACAATTTTAGAACTTTTTCTTCTTTCTTGAATTCATTGTTATTACATCCCTATTTCTCCCCAACTTCTGCTACTATAACCCCAGTAAAACAAGAACAATAACAAAGCAAAACATAGAAAAACCTCAATTTCTCTACTGCACAGGAGAAAGCTGAAACTTGCTCCCACAAAGATTTGCATACTGGGAAACCCATGGAGGTAGTTCTACTCTGTCCAGAGGGTTTCTATGAGTCAGAATCAACCTGATGGCAGTGTGCTTGGGTTTTGTCTCTGTGTTACTGTCCAGGAAATTTTAGTTTTAACATTTAGATTTCTGATCAATTTTTAATTTTAGTGTATGGTGTGAGGTCAAAACCGGTTTCATTTTTCTGCAAATGAATATCCAGTTTTACCAGTACCATTTGTTAAAGAGACTTTTTCTCCATTGAATGGACTTCAATTATTATTGATCAGTTGGTCCATGGATGAATAAATTTACTTCTGAGGTTTCTATTTTGCTCCATATGTATTGCTCTATATATCTTTCATTGTGCCAGCACTTGGCTTTTTGATTATTGTCACTGCTTAGTAAACTATTAGAACAGGTAATATGAGGTCTCCTACGTCATTCTTTTTCAATACTGCTTTAGCTATGATGGGCCACTTTCTTTTCCATATAAGGATGTAGATTACTAAAAGAGTTTAAAAATCCAAATGTGTCTAGAAGGGTAACGGTGCTTGAAGATTTCATTGTATTTTCAATTTAAATTTATTTCCTCCTTGGATACAAAACTATTTACAATAAATGATATACATAAAGTGATGTTATTAAAAGATTGTTAGAATATCATCATAGTGAATATCATCATTTGAGTGAATATATAATTACTATGATTGAATATTAAAGTTAGTCTGGGTTGCCCAATAGTTCAACCTCCATTCTCACCACCCTCAAAATAAGCAGAAGGGGGCAGACTATAAGTAAATCACTATTGCCTTAGTGTATAATATGTTTATCATATGTATTTTGCTTACCATCTCTGATGGAGGTGACACTCAAGTTGTTTGTGACTATCAATGATAAAACAGCTTCCATCAAGTTTATTTTGACCTATGATAACCCTATGTGGGTCGCACCACTTTAAAGAAGTCTTGTACAGCACATTTACCGAATGTAATGTGCTATTTGACCTCTTGACTGCTGTTCCCATAAGCATTGATTATGGATCCATGCAATTTGACAAATTCTCTCAACTTGACAAATTCTTGACAACTTTAATGTTTTCTGTTTATCATGATGTTCCCTATTGGTCCATTTGTGAAGACTTCTGTTTTCTTTACATTGAGTTATAATCTATACTGAAGGCTGTAATTCCTTATCAAATGATGCATTTGGCAAATCTGTGGTACAAGACTTCTTTAAAGTGTTGAAAAGCAATGCTAAGCACCTGACCCAAGACACTGCATTTTCAATTGCCTCATGTGCATGTGAAAAGTGGGCATTGAACAAGGGAGACCGAAGAAGAATCCATGCACTTGCTTTAGGGTACTGATGAAGAATTTTGAAAGCACCATGGACTGCCTAAAGAACGAACAGATCTCTGGGAAGACAAATAGTCAGAATGTTCCTTAGAAGCAAGGATGGCAGCAAGACTTTGTCTCACAAACCTCAGACATGTTATCAGGAGAGACCAGTCCCTGGAAGGGGACACCGTGCCCAGTAGAGGGTCAGTGAAAGAGAGGAAGGCCGGGACATGATACATTTTCACTGTGACTGCCACCATGGGCTCAAACACGGAAACGACTATGAGGAGAGTGCAGACCTGAGTCGTGCTACAGTCTGCCCTGCATGGGCTTGCTGAGCGCTGGGGCCACTCGACAGCCCCTCACAGCAGCAACATGTGCGGGCACGTGGAGCTGTGTTCTACCGAAATGTCGGTGGCCGATTTCTGTGAAAGCAGATCAGCAAGTCTTTCTTCTGAGGCACTTTTGAGCGAACTTGAATCTCTAAAATGTCGCCGAAGCAGTCCAGTACATTAATGGTTTACACCACCCAGGTAATGTATAAACAATAAACACATGAACCAAATGAGGGCATTCCTGAAAGTCAGGGCTGCTCAACTGAGAGAAGGTGGGATTGATTAATTATGTGGTCTAATAAATCTGAGTATGTAACCACCACTTAATTACTTTTCTTTGCCTGTTTCCTTAGTCCTCAGCAGTTTGAAATAATAGCCTACTTTGTAGGCTGGTTAGGCACCGTTGATGAGATAACCCTGTGTGAAGGTAAGTCAGAAAGTATTGCTACCAGGGTTCCAGTCCACACCCACATGGGTTTACTCCAAACAAAACACGGCTCTGTGGTCGGTAGGTGGCTGCAGACTAGTTCTCTCAGTAATTCACTGCCTTGGTCTCAAAACAAAGGTGCCATCAAAACTGGGTTCTCAGGGAATCAGCTGTGATGGTTAAATTTAAGACAGGAAGGTTAGTTCAGAATGTTAAGGTCACTGGTTTGGGGGGTGATTTGGGGGGAGTGGAGGCTGGACCCCAAGAGGATCATCTTAATAGATTTTTTTTTAAGGACACGGATGATCACAGAGGCTTAGTAGGAAAATTTAAGAACATGGAAAACTACATTGGTGCGAAAAAGGCTAGGAAAGTTGTAACCAGAATTTTTTTCCCATCACAACATTATATCTGCTCTTTCTTCACGGGTAGCAAGGGCTGTCCTCTGAGAATTTCATTGAAAAGCCTTAATCCACCCACTCCACAGACCCCCTAATCCATTCACCCTACACTCCTCATCTTACTCCTTCAGATTAATTTTTGCTCCCCAAACTAAAATAATATTGAGAAGGAACACCATTTGAATTCCTCAAGAAAACCAAAACTATTGTTTTGATGTGATGTAAACAGAGGACACAGAATTCTTCAGGGAAGGGTTCAAAAGATGGAAACATTGCCATCCGAAGTGCATACACCCAGATGGCAGATATACTGAAAATAAACAGATTCACATTTGGATATTTTTATTTAATAAAGGTGCCTAATATTTTATAGCAATACTTTTTGACTTACCTTTATAACATGCCAAGCAGAGGGCCTAGCACCCAGGATAAGCTTTCTGAGAGCTATGTGATGAGTATCAACATGAGTAAGGCTGTTCTATTTTCACCTACTTTGCCGCCAGTTTGGCAGTTTGAAAGCACCATGGGAGAAAGATGAGGCTTTCTAGTCCAAAAGTTATAGTTTTGGAAACCCACCAAGGTACTTCTCCCATACCATAGCGCATTGCTTTTCAGTTTGGCTCTGAGGGTTGGGGTCAATTAAAGTCAGATGGTATACTCTTTCTGCAGGGGAAACTTGCAAATTGACTTCCCTCATTCCTGGAGGTAGGTTGCTTTGACGCAGGCTACAAGGAGCTTATGGCAGTGGGGATTGCCTTTGACACTGTAGCTATGGGTGGACCACTGGCACTAAAGCCCTGAAGTTGCCACCCTTCTTGAATGCCCACCTGGAGAGCTAGCTTCTTCTTGCCATGCCTTCGCTCCATCCACTCTAGGACCCGTGTGAGATCAGACATGCGCCTCTCCTCAGCTGTCCTCCACGTGGACTTGCGCTCAGTGGCCATCACGTCCTTTGGGTCCTCTCCCTTCACAAGCATGCAGCAGTTCTGATGTGACCTTGGGAACAAGAGTGGTACTCTCGCACTTTCTTGATTCCTCTCCACTCACTGACTTGGATGATGTACAATTACGATGTGGCTTTCAGATGTGAACATAAAGGGCAGTGTTCAACAAAGTAGCTGCCATATTGACTTAAAGGGTGGAGTGTCTAGTGGGTGGGGTGGGCAGTAGTGATTGTGAGGTCACTGTCAAGCTTGGTGGTTGACGTAGAGATCAGAGTGGAGGGGGAACATTGGTTATTGCTCCCCTTTCTTCATGTGGCCTTCAGGCATCATATCTTACTTGGACTATCACAACCTCTTACACTTTATTACCTGCAGTTCCACACATGTCTCATTAAAACAAAGGTCAGTCCACCTAGCTCCCTTTCAAAAAATATTTCAATGGCTCCTTGTTGCCTATACAAAGTTTGAAATTTCTTGTGTGCTACCCAGGCTTACTACAATGAGTTCTAATTAGAATGAGGCTTTTATAGGCCTCCGTTTCTCCTATTCATTCACTTATTCATATGAGTAATTATCAGATACCTACAATGTGAGAAGCACTATACTGGTGGTAAAACATAGCATGCAAACATAGTCGTAGACCTATAAGCATAGGGGCTGGTGGGAAAGATAAGGTAGCAGTGAAATAATTACAGTATGAGCTAATAATGACATGCTAAGACGAGTGCTCTGAAGGCAGCAAGGGAAGCAATTCTACAAAAACCCCTACACTGGATCCAGATTTGGACAGGGTGGTGGATGATCCCACTCGGGAAATTAAGCTTCAATGGAGCTTTGAACCAAAAGAACAAACATGTACAAAGACCCTGTGGCAGGATTGAAGCATGGCATGTTGAGAAACAACAGAATGTCATAGTGGCTTCAAGTATTAAAATGATTCTGGAGAGGTAGGTAGAGGCCAAATCATTCAGGACTTTGAAAGCCAAAGAAGACACTGTGCAAATGGAATCTAATGAAGGATATCAAATAGGAGGAGGGAATGACACGATCAGGATTTTTCTCTTGTTCACATAAAGTTTCATTGAAGAAAAATTATATATACAGAAACATGTCAAAATCACAAGGCAAGGCACCCCTATAATAAAGCTCCAGGATTTTCCCTGAGGTTTCCTTCCCCTTGCTAGTCCCTACCTCACAGGAAACGAGTTCTAATTCTGTAGTTTTGTTTTCCCATTTTTGAATTCCGTATAACCGGCATCATATACTCTTTTTGATCTGGCTTCTTTCTCGTTACAACATATTTGTGAGGTTCACCCACTAGCTCATTGTTTGAAAACATCATCCAAAGTTTAATCTTTAACCTGCCTGTTTTGCTACCATTCTTCACATTCTATGGGTTTTTGTGCTTTCAAACTTTACCAGTGCTCTTAAGTTTAAAAGTACTTTCCTGACTCCTCTACCTGTAGATGTTTTGCTCATCCCTCTCCTCCCAAGATCATTTTTTTCTGAGAAGATGTTTCTGGCTTCATCCTAAGCAGAATTCTTTTTGTTTGTTTTTTTCCCCCTTTTCTCCCACTGTGTCCCTCCAATGGTTTGCTCAGCAAAGTCAAAAGTGAGAATTTTGACTTCTAGACTCCTGAACACTGTTCCATTAAATACCAGCTCCACTAGAATTTCATCTCCATGAGCATAAGAACCATGTCATTTGCTACATGAGATAGTTAAGGTTTATTGTGCCAACCTGGCTGATAAACACATGTGGGATTAATTGAAGGGTGGAGAGATAAATGTTTTGGTGAGCCTCGCCTTTCTAGTTCTTGGGTCTCTTGCTTTCTGGTGGTTGGACCAGGGTGCAGCTGCCTTAGCCAGTTCCCTGCTTCAGCTAGCAAGGCTCACTTCCTGCACGACATCCCTGAGGAGGAGCCACATGGACTTACCTGATGCAGCCCTGGGTGCTGTAGCAGCCATGTGGAGACTCCTGTCATTACTGATATGCTTACACATGCACTGATTTGGCTTTCCTCCTGCAGTCGGCATCATCGTGTGTGTTTTGTGAGATTGAGGAGGACTTTGTAGATTGGTGTCGGACATATGGGCTAATGTTGGACTTGTGGACTTGGACAGCACTGGGTTGGGATGCTTTCGTAATGTGCACTTACCGTTTATATAAAACTCTCTCTTATATATATGAGTTTCTGTGGATTTGTTTCTCTGATGTACCCAGACTAACACAATGCATTTCTTCCAAGTCCACTCAACAAGTGGATCCAGGTGGTCACCTAGCAAGCATTTCAGCCTGCCCACAGGCTCCCTTTAATGTTCAGTCCTAGAAATGAGAGTTTCTTCATGGTCTAGATTTTTCCAGCCTCAAGCATAAACCACTAGTTCAAAATTCAAAAATCTAAAGAGTTTTTTTTTTTCTCCTTCAATCTGTCAACAGCCCCCTTAGGCAAATCTCTTCACATTTGAATATCCTGAGCACTCAAGATGCTGGGTGGAGCTTATTCTTTCAGAATCTTCTTTGCAGGTGTGTCCTAAACCCATTGGAATTCCAATTGTAATGGCTGGAGACAAGTGGGCTTACAAACTCTCTATTTTCATACTTCCCAATAATCATTTCTACCTATCTTTATGTCAACAATAATAAGCAGAATAAATCAGTATAAACAAAGTAGAATCATCCTAAACTCAATTTTTAAAAAAAGTTCAATCCTTATTTATCTTATCTTAATCCTTATCTAAGATATTCTATTGATACATAATATGGGATTAGGTTTCTGACTTCATCAAGCCTGGGCCAGGCTTTCTGTCAGCCATTTTGACATTCTGTCAGCCATTTTGACATTTTGTCAGCCATTTTCACTAAGCACATGTCTCTGAGAAATTAAAGGGGCAATTTCTACCCCTCAAAATATACATTAACAACATTCATTTTTGCCATTTTAAACAGGAATAACCAAAGACAACAACCAAACAAAATAATCCAAATGTTAACTTCCCATATTCCTTCCAGAAAACAACCCAATAAAGTGCATGGCTATATCTGACCTCTGGCTAGCCCAAGAGGAAAAACTACCACAAGGCAGAGATCAAACAAGCATCCACTCTCCATCTTCATGATTTGTTTCTCCAGTGCCCCACTCCCAGGGTTAGTCTGGGTTGACTAAAGAAACAAATTCATAGACACTCATGTGTGTAAGAGAGAACTTTATATTAAAGAGCAATTGCACATTAAGAAAACATCCCAGCCCAGTCCAGATCAAGTCCATAAGTATATTAACTCATATATCTGATACCAATCTATAAATTTCTTTTCAGACTCATGCAACACATGCAATGAAGCTGAATGCAGGAAGATTACAGTCCAGTGGGAGGGAAGTCTTATGGATCCAGTGGCAGTGGAAGCATCCCAGCACTGGCAGGGGTCTCCACATGGCTTCTTTAGCTCCAGGGCTCTAGTGTAGCTCCATGTGTCTTGTCAACAGGAATGACTGGCATGGAATGTATCTGTGTCTTGCTTCCAGTAAGCTAATTAGCTCCTTAGAGCCTCCAAATGAGATCATCAAGCTGTTCCCTGATTGGCAGGCTAAACTCCACCCCTTCACTCTTAATGGTCTCAAGTTGACAACAGATTATCTAACTGACACAATATGTTAAGTATTAAGGTAGCAGAGAGACATTGACCCTCAACTCAAGTACTCCCTCAATGCAAGAACAATTTGTTCTAATAACTCAGATTTCAGTGATGCTCATCTTCCCAACATGATTGCTGAAGACAAAATGGGTGCATAAGCAAATGTGGTGAAGAGAGTGGATGGTGTCCTGCTATCAAAAGTTACAGTGTCTGGGGTCTTAAAGGCTTGAAGATAAACAAGTGGTCATTTAGCTGAGAAGCAACAAAGCCCACATGCCTCTGTGATCATGAGGTGCTGACAGGATCAGGTGTCAGGCATCAAAGTCCCAGGACAAAAAATCATATTGATGCAAATGAGGGGTTGGGCAGAGTGGAGACCCAAAGCGCATCTATAGACAATTGGACATACCCTCACAGAAGGGTCACAAAGAAAAGATGAGCCAATCAGTGTGCATTAAAGCACTGATAAAACATGCAACTTTCCTCTTGTTCTTCAATGCTCCGTCCTCCACACTATAATGACCCCCATTCTGCCCTACAAATGGCTAGACTAGAGCATGTACACCGATATAGATAGCAGCTTGCAACACAGGGAATCCAGGACAGATAAACCTCTCAGAACCAATAATGAGAGTATCTATACCAGGAGGGTAGGAGGAAGGTGGGGGGGGGGGGGGGGGAGGGTGAACCAATCACAATGATTGACATATAACCTCTTTCACAGAAGTGAACAACAGAAAAGTGGATGAAGGGAATCAGTGGTTGGTGTAAGACATAAAAAAAACCAATGGCTTATAAATTATCAAGTGTTCATGAGGGAGGGACGGTGGAGAAGGAGTGGGGGATGAGCTGATAACAAAGGCTAAGGTAGAAATAAAATGTTTTTTTAAATGATGATGGCAACATATGTACAAATGTGCTTGACGCAATGGATGGATGTATGGATTGTGATAAGAGCTATAAGATCCCCCAATAAAATGATTTTAAAATAAAAAATAAGTAGAAAAGCCTAAGAAACAGGACCCAGAACTGACAATGGTAATGATGCCCCTGTTAAGTTTTGGGATGCCTGTCACTGTTTTAGCCAAATACAGAGACAAGGTTGACTGGAAAAATTCTAAGTTTATTTCTGCAAGCTCTTGACAGAAGGAAACAACGGGGTTCAGTGAAAGGCAATGAAGTGGCAAGTTGAAGGAATGTTTAGCAGGTGTGTTACAATGAACACTGCTAAAGCAATGGAGACATGGTTCACAGGAAGAGGAGACATCCTGTCACTCCCGCAAGGTCGCAAGCTCCATGCCTTATATAAAAGGCTTTGCCTGCCCAGAGGGTTATTGTTCATCCAAATTTGATGAATTAGAACAATCTTAAGTTTGAAAGGGAAGTCTACTGTAAAGAAGGGGATGGCTAATATATTTGTGTGTTTTTTTCCCTGCAAACTAAGTCTTAAACA